CCCACCCCGGGTGTTACGTAATTTGTGGACGGCCCCTTCACTACGTTAATTTGACAAGGAGTGAAGTGCACGCTGTTCTAAAAGAAGCGCCTCCTTTCTACATGCACCATGCTCAATGATAAAAGCAAATATGCGTATCTCAGGTCGTGTTACCCACGCATACTCCCCAAAAGATTTAGTTCAAAAATAAATTTAATTAAATATGATGCCTTATTAATAGAAAAAGGGGAAAAAGTAAATAAATTTTTTGGACAAAATCCGATTTTTTGCAACTCATCATCATTTGACCCGAGTCATTTTCGTAGCTAAAATTTGATGAAGTAAAATAACGGAACAATGAAAGACCTTAAATTTTTTACCTACCCCTCGAAAGTGGATAGGCCGTATTCAAAAGTGGTTCGATGTATTATATATATCGTTGCTCATTGTATTAGTTGTTAATAAGGTTATCTTAATGTTCTGCACCAATCAATATCAATGCGTGTCTCATCGATAGAGCGCCTGTTTGATGTGTCGAATCCTTAAAAAAACCATGCAACAGCCCAATTTAAGGATTTTGTTGACTAGGGAACCCTGTCCCGTGAAGGTTACATTCAAACATTGAGCCGAGGAGAAATCACTTAACCCGATTTGGAGGGGTAGCTGATGAGTTAGGGGTAGTTTTGGCCTAGTCCTTCCTCGGACCTGATGCGGTCTAAAAATTCGTGAGGAAGGAAGTGAGTGGCTGGTGTCAGGTCTATCTCCCACCCCCCTCCACAACCCCCTCTTATAAATAGGTATAACAATAGGGGCACGAAGCTAGTGCACGATTTTCTTGCAGTATTGTGAAGTGTCCCGATCCAGCGACAACAAATTTCGTAAGTTACTTTTCATAATCGGAAACTTCCCAAAGTGTAGTCATTGAATTAAAGCCAGGGTATACAATTTGAAGTACTCGTTTATACTGATATCAGATTGCGATTTTTGCTGTTGTTATACTAATCTAAGTGCAGTTTTTCCAACATCCGAATAGGAACTTTTTAACGCATAGGAACTTCATAAATTCGAAGAGAGCCTGGATTATATTCAATGAAACAATCTTAAGTAAGCAAGAGGGAGTGAACTTCTTTTTCTATGTTTTAAGCGGGAAGAATCGAATTTCCAATTACTGCATTTTCTTCCCAAATTTATTTTTTTTTTATCCGGCTAAAATTGTTACTTTCGATGGAGTTGTGTAGAGTTGTATGTTATTTTTGAGCGCAAAATATTAAAAAAAATTGATCCACCGTTTAAAAGAAAGTTATGTACACAAATCTTTCTTAAATTTTATAATGAATGCTTTGAAAGTTTCACATCAATGGAAAAATATTGAAAAAGAGTTTACGCAGATAAACGTAATATCACTCCTGTTTTCTCCTTTGATTCCATCCGGTATTATTTTTTAGGTGAAACCTTTACATTTTTTTTACGCTATCTATGAAAAAATTTTGCTGACAAGTTATTGTAGAATTGATGTTAGTAATTTTGTAAGATACTTTGAAAAAAGGTGTATTTCATGAAAATGGTAGGGCACTCTGTTATTTTCTCTTTTTGGACAATTTTAACAATGAACTAATTTGAAAATAAATGTATACAAAGTCCCCCTAGAATGAAACCCGGATTAAGATGAGCTATTTTACAGTCCGTTATTTGTGTACCTAAAAAATCCAACTTCAAAAGTTCAAAATTTGATGTAAAGGTTTCCGAAGCAAATTTAAGTTCTTTTTCAGGCCACGAGGCCCTGTGTAATTTTTTTAGTTTAACATTAGTCGTTAGTCACACACACATTTCTTTGAATATCACCACAGTTCGGATCTCTTTCATCTTGAATCACCAACACCCTTGTCCACGTGAAATTTCAAAAATATTTCAAGGAAAGAAAAATTTAATCAGCGAGAAAATAAGGCGGGGTTGATGCACGAGGATACGATTAAAAAATCGCACAAGGATGAGACCTGTCCGCTCATCCCGGATAGTATATCCTTCGTCGGCACCGTGCCGATCAAAAACGACGCATTTGAATAGGAATTTCCGTGGGGAGAATGCTGTTTTTGCTTGGTAGGGTATTACACGGTCTCATTTCCTAATGGGAGTTGTGAGAACTTCCTCTGTCGTGGGCTTGGAGAAACTCGGCGGAAAATCGCCGTGCCGGGCGATTTCCACGCTTTGGATTTTAACCGTAAAATGTCGCATAGCACCGGGAATAAAATAAAATTTACGACAGTCAAACTTTTAAGCTCGCTCCCCTCACCCCTGCCCCTCCCTGCCGGGCGGCGTCCCTCGAGCATTCCCTTGCATTTATAAATGATGATAATCGGGGCGCATTGACCGTTACAAATTGATCTATGCTCGTTTAAGCATCGGATATATTTCTCTTAAAATGTGAAGGTTTGTTGCTAACTTTCAGATATTCAGAATTTTTAATCTTTTATTTGGCCATCTCCGAGGGCCTGAGGAGGGTAGCCATTCGGTCGTACTTACACTGGAAAAAAACGCATTGGATCTAGAGTCCAGACTTTTAAAACATCGACAAGAAAAAATACTCTTGATTCAATCGGATTTTTGCTTAAATCAAGAGCCAAGCCTCTTAATTTGAGCGGATTTCCGTTTGATTTAAGCAAAAATCTGATTGAATCAAGAGTATTTTTTCTTGTCAATATTTTCAAGAGTCTAGACTCTAGATCCAATGTGTTTTTTTTCTAGTGTTGGGTCGTACTCATACAATTTCCCTGTGTATTTCGTGAGAATTCGGTGGCTCTGAGAAACTCTAAGGTAGGCACGGCACCTTTTTAAAAATGGGAGGAATGTACAATTAATTTTCTAGTGTACTCATTTTGTGTTGATGTAAATCATTTTGATTCCTCCCAAGATTGTATAAGTAAAGAGTAGTGTTGAATTGAAATTAATAATGATATAACTCGGCCTGCCCCTTTGAAACGTGATTTTCGATCCTGAGGTATTGAAATTAACCAACTACAAGCTTAGTTCACCAAAAAAAAAAGTAGGTTCCATTTATCATATTCTGGTTAATAAACGGCACAATATGATAACTTTCATCAAATTTACCGTGAAAATAACAAGATTTTTCCTTATGGTGACAAATATTTTGGTGGAAGTTACCATACTGTCTGTATGTGTCGCTTTTTTAACCAGGATACGGTAAATGCTTCCTGTGGTTAAAAAATGATCAGCTGAATGGTGTTTTTCTCAATCATAAGGCAAAAAGCATGTTATCAAAACATCGATTTTCTACCATCAAATTTAAATGAAGAATGGGTAATAAATAGGCAAATATGATTTTGTAGCTCCATTAAGACAATTTTCAAATAAAATTTGCCTTAAAAGTCTCAAAAAACACTATTTATTCGAGAGTTTTTCGTTACTTTTCTTCCGGACACTTTAAATGTTGGAAAATGCGCAGATCTTTTGCAAATTCCTTAAAACATTTTTTTTTTCAAATTTCACCTTTCGTAAATTTTACTTCACAAAAACACCGAAAGAGGATTTTGATGGCTAATTTGCGAAATCACGTATCTCCTTTGGAATGTGTCAAAATCTCTGAATCTCTGAAGTTTTTTCTGAATGTAGAAGAACCATTAAGGAAGTTTCCAAGAAATTAAGTTGACAAGTTTTCCAAAGATGAAATAAAGCGTGATAGAAATTCTTCGACGTTGCAAACGGGCATACACGGGTTTCACACTTGGCCATCTATTTGGGAAAATATCAATTTTTAAAAAAAAAAATTATAAGCTGAGGCGGATTCAGCAATGTGGTAATGCTCTCTTCCTTCCATTTGAACCTGTATTGAATAATCGATTCTTGTCGGAGCACTTGACTCCTTCTAGAATAGATACATTTCCATACGTTTAAATGAGGAAAAATCAACGTTGCCAAATTTCTGGATCCGCCAATGTTTAACAGCTTTCGTTTTATAATTTACGAGTTTTCTTAAACACTGGAAAAAAAAAACACATTGGATCTAGAGTCCAGATTCTTGAAAACATTGACAAGAAAAAGGACTCTTGATTCAATCAGATTTAAGCTTAAATCAAAAGGAAATCCGCTCAAATTAAGAGGCTTGGTTCTTGATTTAAGCTTTAATCTGATTGAATCAATAGTATTTTTTCTTGTCGATGTTTTTAAGAGTCTGGCTATTCTAGATCCAATGTGTTTTTTTTTTTCCAGTGAAAGTTGTTTAAGAACCGTTGCTACCAGAGACTCCATTGGTATAAATATGGAACTGATTTCAGGAGATGAGGAACCTGCAGACGCTTTTCATGTTCGGGCTCATGGTGATGGGGCTGTGCGCCGTGAGCTGGGCCCAGGAGAGCGCTGCCGCAGCAGCACCGCCACCCCCGCCGGGGCCGCCGCCCCCCGAATCCCCAAATTCGGATCCGGAGCAGAACTCGCTCGATAAAGACATCTCCGTTCTACCATCTTTCCCCACAAGTAAGTGCTCTTTTTATACATGCCACCACGTCATCTTCGCCTTTTACACCATCCAACCCTCCCTCGATGAGATTTTTCATCTCTAATCATACTGCCGCACAGTGGATCGAGTCAATAGGAGAGGTCGGACAAAATTCGGAAACTTTAAAGGCTTATAACTCCGTTTATACAAAAGTTTGAGGTTCTAAAAGTAGTCCCATTGGTTTTCTCGTGAAACTGTCGTCCCAAGTCACCCCTCACAATGTGAAATGTGACGAAATAATCATCAAAATTTGGGGTTTTAGTCAAACATTTCATGTCTGACCTCTCTAATTGACTCGATTCACTGTGTGCCGCATAGGTGGATACGGGTGAATAATTCTGTTCGTATTTAAATCTTAAGTGTTCAAAAAAATAAAGGAAAAATACTCTCAACTTTTTTCATAGATAAATGTTTTCTCAGAGTTATAGTTAGGCTTATTCTTGTTTATGCCGTGTAACTATAATATTTCTGTAATAATAACATGAATTAAAACCTGGATTTTTCCTTACAAGCAGAAGAAAATAAGTATAGCACATCATTTGTCATTACCGTTCGGCTAATTTTTCTAATGAAATTCCTTTTTTTTACAAATTAAGCAATTTTCAAAAATTTTACTCACTAAAAACATCTGATTCAAAAGGTAGATAGGAACTTCAGCAAACCTGCAACAAAAGCATTAAATGATATTTTAATCACGGTTTCATTTCAGACTAACACAACTGACAGAACAACATGAACAATTTTTTTGAGTTTTGTTTTACAATAACCGAGTTGCATTATGTCTATCGGTTAAAATGCTTTCATTCGGAAAGTTCGAGTAACGCAAAGTAACTATTTTTTTCTTGTTTCGGACCCTCTTAATTATCTCCTCTAGTATTGCACATTTACCTAACCCAAACCCATAAACGCAAACTCTTTGACACTAATAATGCAACGCTGGTCGTAACTGCTTCTTTACCAACCTCTCGAAAAACATGATAGGAAAACTTTTTCTTCCAAGAATCCTGTAATCTTTCAAATTCATTTTCATTCGTAATGCTATCCTCCAAGTGAGGCAAGCTCAGATTTCTCGAAAAGTGCGTTACTTAATACTTGAACTCATCCCCCCCCCCCCCCCCCTCCCGCTCTTTTCTAAAGAGGTAAAGATACAGAAACACTTAAGCAAGTTCCTTAGAAACATGAATCTTATAGGAACGCCGTTTGAATACTGCGAAAAATTAGGTTTAGTATCAGAAGAAAACGGCTTTTCTCAGCAGTACATAGTTGTGCTGAGGCAAATACTTGTTTTAGTCAAGGAAGCGATCAATTGCACCAAGGAGAGGAAGGGTTAGCAGAAATACTCCCCATTTAGGTACCTGTGGGAGTTCTGCATTATTGTAAAATTATTTACGTTCCTTTGCCAATAAATTGACAATTTCAATACAAATGATGATTCTATACAAATTGTCGGTGATCGGCAATGATGAGACCAAGTTTTCGAAACCGATCCGACGATTTTAAGTTTTAATCCATGTGCAAGTGAGTGAACAATCTTAATTCGTCAACTTTTTAATCATTTTTTTAAAAAAGGAATTCTTTGATTTGTTGACGACTCAGCAAAATCCTTCACTGGAAAAAAAAACACATTGGATCTAGAGTCCAGATTCTTGAAAACATTGACAAGAAAAAATACTCTTGATTCAATCAGATTTAAGCTTAAATCAAAAGGAAATCCGCTCAAATTAAGAGACTTGGTTCTTGATTTAAGCTAGATTCTGAT